GCAAAGATTATTTTTAGAGTCTTTTTTTTTTTTTTGTCATTATTTTTAAAGTTTTGGCCATTGAGTAAGAACAAAAACAATTAACAAACATTTTCTTTTCCTTTCCTTTTCGAAACAGACACTATGAAGCCATTTCAGTACTAAACTCTAGGAGAGTTATGTACATACAAAAAAAAGTTCTGTTTAAGATATGTCTCCTATTAAAAATATTTACATGCATTTTTTTTCCCTCCCGGATTCATTGAAAGCTCCAACATTTCTAGTTTTCCAGATCTTTGTTTTGTTCTCCTATGGGGATTGGAAATCAGCTCCAAAAAAAAAGTTGGAATTACTTCAATCTTCTGGAAAGGGAGATTTTTTTAAATTTTATTTTTGGGATGTTTATCAATGGAATTTTTTTTGTCTTTTTTTTACAATTATTTTATTTTTAATTTATACAAGAATGTTCGATGTTTATTTACAGGAGGAGCAGTGGGTGATGGTTTATCCTGGAGATGTGGTGGTGAGAGAGAAGGGGGGGAATTTAAAAAGTTTTCTATCAAACTGCAATGGATTCCTGTTTTTCGGGAGTCTGGTTTGATTGTCAGCTGGGCTGGGGTGACTTCGGCCAGGGGGGACCCTGAACGGGGGAAATTCCTGCAGGAAAAACCCCTGGAGCCCTGGAGGTCTTGGGAGAAGTGCTGGAGTGTGAAAAATCAGGGGATTTTTACCCAAAATTTAAAAGAATGGGGGAAATAAACACAGAAATAAAAGTTGGGATCTGCAGACCCTCTGGGGCTCCTTTAAGAGAAGGGGGAGCTGCTGGCACAAGGACTGGGGAGGCTCCGGAGCCTGCGGGGATTTGGATCCACCCCGGGACCCCAGCCCGGATCTGCTCCGGCCCTGCAGTGATAAAAGGCTCCTGATCCCACCTGGGAGATCCCAACCCACCGAGACCAGGATTGGGATCGGGATCGGGACTGGGATTGGGACTGGGATCGGATCAGGACCGGGTTCAGGATTGGGATGGGGATCGGGACTGGGATGTGAAGGACAGGGAGGGGAGGGAGGAGCAGCAGGAAAGGTGGAATCCCACATCCCTTGGGACAGGAAATCCTGCATCCCTTGGGAGCGGGGCCAAGTCTGAATCCTACATCTCTTGGGACAAGGAATGAGGCCGAATCCCACATCCTTTGGGACAGAGAATCCTGCATCCCTTGGGACAGGGAATGATGGGAATGCCACACCCTTTAGGACAGAGAATCCTGCATCCTTTGGAAATGAGGCCAAGGCTGAATCCCGAATCCCTTGGGACAGGGAATGAGGGGAATCCCAAATCCTTTAGAAAAAGGGTTGAGGCTGAATCCCACATCCCTTGGGAGAGGAAATCCCACCTCTCTTGGGAGCAGGGCCAAGGCTGAGTCCCGAATTCCTTGGGCAGGGACTCCTGCATCCCTTGGGACAGGGAATGAGGCTGAATCCCACATTCCTTGGGACAGGGGCCAAGGGCTGCAGAGCCCAGCATGTGGTGCTGGAGGACAAATCCTCCTCCTTTTCCTCTTTTTCCTCTTTTTCCTCCTCCTTTTCCTCTTTTTCATCCTTATTTTCCTCTTTTTCCTCATCCTTTTCCCCCTCAGGAGCAGAGTCCCCCGGCCCCATTCCCATCTATACATCTCTACATATACATTAATTACATACACACATTATATACACACACAGACAGCCCCAGCCCAGCCCCACTCCTGGGATCCCAGGGAGCTCATTCCCACCAAACTTGTCTGGATTGAGAGCTCAGAGTTACTTCAGAGCCTGGCAGAAAACCTTGGAGCATGGAAAAGATCATGACAAGGGTGGTTATGGGAGGAAAGGGGAATTAAAAAATCCATTCCAGTTCTTGGCTGGTGGGTTTGTTCCTGTGGAAGGATCTGAGCTGGGGATTCACAGCACAGGTAGCTCAAAATGCTGGAGATGAGCAAAGGAACTCCCAGACAGGGATTGTCAGGGAAATGAGGGAGGGAGAGGGGGAATTTGAGGCAAACCAGCCCATCCTGGCAGTCAGCCAGCCCTAGCTATGCCTGTCCCATCCCTTTCCCTGCAGCTGGGTCCCCCAAGCATGGCTCATTATGGAAAGGTCCAAAATCAGAGTGGTTTTGGAGCTAAGGGGAAGCTCCATCCCAACAGACACCTGGTGCTTTTCATGGAAAAATCCCAGATAAGAGAGATTTTTAGAGCTAAGGGGACAAATCCCACCCTGCAAAACCCACTCAGGGCCAGACCCTGCTGCTGCTGGGCCCCTTCCATGTCCTGCCCTTACCAAACTCCCCATTCCAGCCCTGGTTTGGGCTCTCTGCTCTTCCCTTCCCTTTGGATGTGGCCTAGGAGTTCCTGGCTGTTCTGCTGGATTTTCTCCATCTTTTCCTGCTGCAATTCCAGCAGGGAGAGCCTCAAGGCTGGCACAGCTGGCAGAACAGCCCACACCACCCTGCAACTCCAGAAACTCCTAAAATGATCCAGCTGGAACAGCCAAGGTTCTCCCTGCAGCTCCAGCACATCACACACACACACACAGTAACGAGCGGAAAAGAAATGGAAAAGCCATGGAAAAATCCCTCAGGGAGCACAGCTGGAAGGACCAGCACATCTGGGCACTGCTCCAGCTGGGATCAGGGTGAAGGATGGGAATTTGGGCAGAGGGGATGGTGCCAGACTCAGCTTTGGGAAAGGAAGATGCTGGAGATGCTTCTGCTCCCACTGAAGTTAATTTTCCCAAAAATCTGTTCTGGGGGAAGCTGGAAGCTCCTGTGTGGAGCCTCCTCCTCTTCCCCATCCCTGTTCCCATCAGGAATCCCTGGAAAGCCCCGGAGCAGGAGTGCCTGCAGGAGGGAGCAGCTGCCTCCACCTGCACCAGGCACCAACCCTCAGGTTGGGTTTTTATCCATCCCTGTGGCTCTGCTCAGGGAGAAATGCCTTTATCCAGGATTTTTTGGGGAGATGGACTTCCCCAAAAAATCCTGCCTATACTCAGCTCCATCCCATCTCCTTGGAGGGAGGCACAGGGTCACATCCTCCAGAACGAGACTTTTTTGTTCCCTTCAAACATTGACTCCAACAGCCCCCATGGAGCTGAGGTGACACAAGAGGCTGTGACATCACCACACAACCACAAAATTTGGCTCCAAAACAAAAAACTCTCCTGGAGCTCACATCCCTCTCCTCATGGAGAGCAAAAGTGTGGGAGCAGGAGATAATGAATTATTTCATCACTTCTGATTAGCAGTTTAGTTGCCTTCACCTTTTTTTATTGTGTTTATCTCAGATTTTAATTACTGCAGAAGCCCTGCCCAGGCTCCTCTCACCCTCCCACCTCCGACTTCCCTCACTCCCGAAGCTGTGATGGATTTAAGTGCCAGGATTACAACCTAACACCAGCTGAGAGGGACGAGGTTAAGCTTGAGTGAGTAAAAAAACTGTATTATGGAACTTCAGACTATTAAATAGGAGGAAAAAATGGAATGAAGAAGATTAAGGAGGCAACTCTGAAAAGCAGCATTAAAAAGATTAAGCTGGGAGGGATTTTTATTTTTTTTTTAAGCAAGCTCTAAAGATTTAATCCAGGTTTCCCAAAAGATGGGGATTTTGGGTGACCTTGATGACCTTGACTTGCGCCACTCCCCTTTGTGTGATCCCATCAGGGAAAAATCCTCCAAATCATCAAATTCAGGAGTCCAAACTCCCCCTGGAGCAGCACAAAGTTGCTCTGGGTTGGCACCAGGCTCCTTTAGAGTGTGCTCCCTCCTTTGGAGCATCCTCATCCTTATCCTCATCCTTATCCTTATTCTCATCCTCATCCCCCCTCGGGGATAGACACGGAAATGGTCACTCCCAGCACCACCCCAACCATCCAACAGGGCTTTCTCCAAGCTCCAAGAAACCAAACCATGAGGATTTTGAGGCTGACAGCTCAAAAATGAGGATTTGGAGCTGACCCACATGTGGGTCTCTGTTCCCTATCCTGAAGTAAAGCCAGGTCGTCATTTCAGGTTGTATCCCAGGGAAAAGCAGCCCAGAGCTCCCAACTTCCCAACTCCAAATCCCACCCAAGCATCCTAGTGCACTGAGAAATTCCAGGGATTTTGTTTCCTTCCACACCTGTGTTACTGTGGGTGTACAGGAGTGGAGATATGTATTTATATATATTCAAAATATTCTTCTGGCCTCAAATCCCTTCCACAACGAAGCTCTTCTGTCCAGGGCCATGAAACCCTAAATCCCCCAATCCCCTCAGGGGCAAAAGTGTCCCTGGCTCTGTTAATTCACAAAGCAATGATTTTTTCCCCCAGATTTTCCCATTTCAATTGTTCCAAGAGCAAATCAAAACTCTCCATGGGACCCCATCGAGATCACAACCATTGCGACAACAAAACCCCACAATCAGGGCTCCAGCTAATTAAGAGCCACCTCATTGAAACACCTTAATTAAAATATCTGAATTAATTAATCTGCACCCTGGGCAGCCTCAGAGGGGATACCTGGGGTGTGGCAGGGCTGGGTTCTCTCCAGCCCTGTGGGTTGTGCAGGGATTTAAACACCAGTGAAGGAAAACCATCAATCCCAGGGATGCAAAAAACAAAGGAAAGCCATCAATCCTGGGTGTTTGCATCAATTTTGGGATCTTTCCAATGATCCAACCAGCCCTGGGGCTGAGCCGTGGTTCTGCCTCCCCTTCCTCACCTCGGTGGGACCCTGAGGGTTCAGGGATGGTCCCTGCTTGGATTTCCCCCCTTAGGCTGCATCCCACGCCCTGCAGAGCTCTGTTATCCCCTCTGGAAGAGCCAGGCACAGGATTCAGCTTCTCCAGTCCCCGCTTCTCCCCAAGGAATGTCCAGCAAAGCCGAGCTTTAGTGGTCACAGTGAAAACCCAGCCCAAGCCAAGTCTCTTCCTGGCCAAACGCCTCAGCCAGATGTGGATCCAAGAGATTCCAGGGGTGACTGGATGGCAGCATGGGATGCCCCAATGCAGCTCCACAAGCTCTCCAGAATGTTGATCCAAGGGATAATTCCCAGTGTTTGTATTTATTTCCTTTTTTCCCCACTCCAGGAGCAAATCCCAGGTATTCCAGCTCCTTGTGCTTTTCCCAAGGCTCCAGGAGCGTTGGAGAGTCACGTTCTCTCTTCCAGCAGAAGGAGATTCCTGCAGAGCGACCAACCCCATTCCAAAGGAAAACCAAAAAATAAAGACGAGACAGAAGGAAGGGAATCTCCTTCTTTTATGGACGGAAAAATAAGGGCAATAAATCCAAAGCAAACCCCCTGCGCCCCAGGGCTGGCAGGAGGGGTCTGAATCCCAGAGTTTGTGGTGGTGGTGTTGGGAAAAGTCCAGTTGAGCTCCAGGCACCGTGGGCAGCCCATCCCGTGCTCTCCAGGGCACTCCCGGGCACGGCTGCCCTGGCATCGGCTCCTTGGCATCGGCTCCTTGGCATCGGCTCCATGTCCCGTCCCTCCCGCCAGCAGAAAGGCCAGCGGTGCTCAGTGTCACCTCAGGGTGCTCGGTGTGACTGTGGCGCGCTCGGTGTGACCCACGTGCACTCGGTGTCACCTTGGGGTGCTCACTGTGACTGCAGCGCTGCTTGGTGTGACCTGGGCGTACTCGGCGTGATCGTGGCGCTGTTCTGGGTGACCTCAGTGCTGCTCAGTGTCACCATGGTGCTGCTTGGTGTCACCTCAGGGTGCTCAGTGTGACCACGGCACTGTTCAGAGGGACCCGGGTGTGCTCGGTGTCACCTTGGCGCCACTCAGCGTGACCCGGGCACTGCTTGGTGTCACTGTGGTGCTGCTCACTGTGACCATGGCGTGCTCAGTATGACCATGGTTGTGCTTGGTGTCACCTGGGTGCTGCTTGGTGTGATGGCAGCATTGACTGCTTGATGTGACTGGGCACACTCAGTGTGACCATGGCACTGCTCAGTGACACCTCAGCACTGCTTGGTGTGACCGTGGTACTGCTCAGTGTCACCTTGGCTCTGCTTGGTGTGACGACAGCGCTGCTTGATGTGACATGGGCACTGCTTGATGTGACTTGGGCACACTCCGTGTGGCCCCAGCGCTGCTCAGTGTCACCTCAGCGGTGCTTGGTGTCACCTTGGGGTGCTCAGTGTCACCTCAGCGCTGCTCGGTGTGTCCACGGCACTGCTTAGTGTCACCTTGGCACTGCTTGACGTGACCTGGACTGTAACAGATAGGGCAACACCTGGACACACTCTGTGTGACCACAGCACTGCTCAGTGTCACCTCAGCAGTGCTCAGTGTCATCTTGGGGTGCTTGGTGTGATGGCAGCACTGCTTGATGTGACATGGGCACTGCTTGACATGACCTGGGCACACTCCATGTGACCACAGCAATGCTCGGTGTCACCTTGGCAGTGTTCAGTGTGACCCCAGTTCTGCTCCGGGCACCCCGTGCCCCCCATGCCAAGGACGCGTTTCCTCCTTCAGCCGCTGCGGGTTTTGCTTTTAAAAATTCACAGTCTGATCCCAAAAAAAGAGAGAGAGGAGGGAGGGGAGAGAGAGACTGGATGGAGGAGAGGAGGAGGAGGGTTTGGAGCGGGGAGGGAGGGAGGGAGGAAGCGTGAGGCACTCCGGGCTCTCCGTCTACGCGTAGAACTCCTCCTGCTTGTCGGGCTTCTGGTAGGTGACGTTGGCCTGCTTGGGCTCCTCCAGGGTGTAGCTGCCCTCGTCCTTCTTCTTCATGCGGTAGATGAGCAGCATCACCAGGAAGGCGGCGAAAAGGGCGCCCACCACGCCGCCCACAATCACCGCTGCAACAACGCACAGGGACACGGCCATCAGTGCCACTCATGACTGTCAGTGCTACCCACAGCCATCAGTGCCACCCGCGGCTGTCAGTGCCACCCACAGCCATCAGTGCCATCCACAGCCATCAGTGCCACCCACAGCCATCAGTGCCACCCACAACTGTCAGTGCCACCTGCGGCCGTCAGTGCCACCCATGACTGTCAGTGCCATCCCCTCCATCCATCAGTGCCACCCACAGCCATCAGTGCCACTCACCACTGTCAGTGCTACCCACAGCAGTCAGTGCCACCCACGGCTCCATCAGTGCCACCCACCACTGTCAGTGCCACCCAAGGCTGTCAGTGCCACCTACAGCCATCAGTGCCACCCGCACCTGTGAGTGCCACCCATGGCTCTCAGTTCCACCCACGGCCATCAGTGCCACCGACAGCTGTCAGTGCAACTCCCTCGTCCATCAGTGTCACCCCTCTGACCATCAGTGCCATCCCCCTGCCTCTCAGGGTCATCCCCAGCCATCAGTGCCACCCCTCTGGTCCTCAGTGTCACCTCCAAACCCCCGGCCCCATATCTCACCTATCAACACCTCTTTCCTCTCCAGGATGTTTTTCTGGGGCAGTTGAGCGGCCGAGTTGCCCGAGTCTATCGTGTTGTCCAACAGCCCCGTCTCCACGTTCCTGCCGGGCCCCGGCCCTGCTGGCGGTGTCACCACAGCCACCACCTCATTCCCGAGGTCGGGACGAGTCGTCTCCTCCTCCTCCCGGATCTCGAAGTCCCCACTGGGGCCGCTGCTGGCCGGCACCTCTGGCTCCTTGTCGGGGGCTGTTGTCACCTCCCCTGGCTCCATCTGGGAGAAAGGATAAGATGGAGCAGGGGACAAGGACCAAAGGGTGTCCACAGGGAGGACATCACCAGACCGAGGATAGGGTGGGGGACATGGGGATGACATTGGGATGTCCCTTCCCCGTGTCACTGAAGTTGTACCACAGCGACAACACAACCCCATGTCGTGGTCACCAAATGGCTGAGGCCACCATGGCTGAGCCAGGCCATTCTCTGTCCCCATCCCAGGACCTGTTCCCTGTAGTTTCTCCTAAAGAGATCCCATTCCAGATCCTCCACCCTTTCAGGGAAGGATTTCTCCCCGGTATCCCATCTCAGACCCTGTGCTGGGCTCTCTCCCCAGAGCACAGGTGGGATGTCACTGCTGGAAGGTGACTCACTCCTAACAGGAGGTGACACAACCTCCATGCCGCACCAGCATGGCAAGAGGAAGGATTGGATGCTGCTGGATGAGCTTCACGGGTCCCTTCCCCCTTCCTGCTGCACAGGGCAGGAGCAGGAGGATGGGCCTCTATCACCCAGGCCACAGGGCTGTCACCCAGGTCACAGGGCTGTCACCCAGCCCAGCTCCCTGCTGTCCCTGCCCAATTCCCTTGGCAAGGAGGGGGTCCCGGCCTCAAGGGTTGCCTGGGAATATGATCCATGCCACCCCCTCCATCCCGTCCCTGATCCTGCACATCCCCTCGAGACCAAATCTCCGGACGTTTCCCAATGTACCTCGGCATCCACCAAGCTGGAGAATCCCCGAGCCAAACCTCCCCCGGACCCCTCCCTGCTGGGGCCATGGGCTCCATCCCTCCTGCCTCGGTCCCTGAGCAGGGTTCGGGATGAGCCGGGATGCGGGATGGGCCGGGATTCGGGATGAGCCGGGATTCAGGATGTGGTGGGATTCGGGGTGAGCCGGGAGCTGTCTGGGGCGGGGCTGGGAGCCCTCTCCATGTCCCGCTGCCCCGGGGCCCGCGCACGGCTCAGCGCTTCCCACGAGCGAGCGGCCGCGTTTGTGACAGGGATTAATTGAAGGTCAGCGGGAGCCCCGAGCGCTCCGAGCACGCATTTGCAGGCGGAAAAGAGAGAGTAGTTTAGACAAATCACTCCACCTTTCAGTCAAAGCGGCTGCAAAGGGCCCCTGAGGGGCTCTGAATGCGAGATGGAGCTGAAATTCCTGCTCAGGACACCCGATGGGCTGGAAATGCACCATCAAGCGGTAATTGAGGAGAGTTTGGGACTCCCGGCGAGGGGCGGGAGCTGGGACATGACACCGAACCCCGAGGACAGTCGCTGTGTCCCCTGGGATGCGGCACCGCTGCCCTCCTGCCTGGGGAAGCCGCTCCGAAGGAGGCAGAGCGGGGTCACCGGGGTGGGGGGCACATCCTGGGTGCCCCAGGAGCCTGAACCCCTGCCCGGGCTGAGCTCCCCCTTCTCCTCCTTTGGCTCTGGAAGAGCCCAGCCTGCCTCCACCTCCCTCAGAGCAAATGGCCAAGGATGGATGGGCACCAAAGGCCTCCCGTGGCCACCACTTTGGCTTCCAGGGAGCCCAGGAGCCCCGAGCAGGTGAGAAGGGCTCTGGCCTCCTACCTGGGGGGCCTCAGTGGGCGGCAGCGTGGTGGCCGTGGGTGGCAAGGCCGTGCTTTTCTC